GGGGTCGGACTAGATGATCTTCTCAGGTCCCTTCCGACCCGAGAAGGTATGAAACTATTACTATATTAGCTGTCTTTCAACACAAAACCAAGAGCAACCAGGACCACAACAGTTTACTGGTCCCTTTCAGGACTGATTGAGACCTCTATGACACTGCAGATGCCTCTACTCCTAATTACTGTGATGCATCCTCAAGTAGTGTTTTACCTGTTCAGTTTCTCATTCTGAGAATGGGCACCATCATCTGCAGAACCAACAGGCAGCAGCATTACATTCTTGCCTGTAGCCTCTTGGAAGGTCAGGGTGACGGGAATGCTTCCTCCCTCTCTTGTCAAGTCTGGCTCAACTCCAAAGACTTAAGAGGAAAAAACAAGTTGGTCATCTTGTGTTGTTGCAGCTTCCTTAGGAGACTTTATTATAGCACTTAGTCATTAAGTATCCCAAAGCACATTATGGAGCAGGATTTAAACCTATGCCTGGCATGATATATGCCATTAATGACAATATTTGCTCCCTACCCCTAGACTTACACATACACTCTTCTCTAGACTTCAGCCACAAACAAAGAACCAGAGCAGGTTAAATATTACTATGTCTACTACTACTACTACTACTATTATTCACCCTTAGCATTTGAGCAAGGCACCAGAACACATTGCTTCCATGCACTGTAGGGGGAAGCTTCTGATCAGGTGAACAGGATTTTATTTGCACAACAGATGAAGTTCATGCAAGCGCAGCTAGTAACAGCTTGCCAAGGGACTGCTTCCATTATAGTACTCCAGTCATTGCCAATAGAACCTTCTTCTTCCACCAGCATCCTGGACTTCTAGTCTGAGACCAGGATTGCCAGGTTGTAGTGGCTGAGTGATTTGGGCATCTTGTCATACAAATTCAAGTTCTTCTCCGAGCTAGTGCCAGAGGCTCCCCTCCCATGAAGTATCAGTAAGTGGATACCCAGTTCTGCATAAATTTCACTAAGTGAGAGTCTAGACAGTCATTCTTTTACAAACCCATTAGACAATGGGTTTGTATAGGGGTGATACTACCTCAGCCATGGGGTTGGATGAGGTCATTTCTGAAGGCCCCTTCCAGACATACCTTTCTATGATAATTCTGCAGGCTAGGAAGTCAGAAAGCTGGATGCTACTGTAGCCACATCACTTCCTTGTGTATTATTGGCCACAGAAGTTGCCTCTGATGAACTATACCAAGTCAGTTGGTGGAGGTGGACTTTTGATTTTGACCAATCACAACCCAGCACAAAGTTAACTCACAGTCCAATTACCTACCATTACACACTCCAGGTATGTTGACCTTGCTACTGCAACTGTAGCAATATACCATAATAGCTTGGATTGTACTCAAGTGTCCCAAAGCTCAATTCTCACTGACCTGTCTGCATGGCTCTCCTACCAGCCATGTAGTGGGGATGGTTGAAGTCTGACACCCAGGGTTTTCCACCATGGCCCATGTACACTTTGAACTTGTTTGGGCTTTGCTGCTCAGCAAATTTTTTGTTCAGGTAGTCCTCAACCTTTTTATTATGAACAAAAATGGAAGTTAAGAGTCTATAAATACCAGTTTAAAGTTAGAGTTTCCATGAGTTATTACTGACTCTACTTCTTATGTTCCAGAACAGCAATTAGTTGTACAGCCAAGCTGACACCACTAGCAACATACTGTTGTTCCACCACTGCATGTGCACACATGTGTATGCAAATATTTTAACAGGGGTAAAGGTCTCACTGTATGGGAAGTACAGAACTCAGAGGGCAGTGCCAGAATGCTAGAAAGAGTAAATCAATACCTACACAAGTGCTGGCCAACTTGGACAGCAGTTTGAAGCAGTTTACCCAACTTTTCAATTATGTTCACAATCGACCCAGCATAAAGGCCCAAACATTTTCCACCAGCTTGCACAAGAAAACCCTGCCTTAAAATTTAAAGCAATAGTCTAGTGTTCAGAAGCTCTCATTACTTAGCTGTTCTATTTTTCTCATTAGGAACGATCATTTAGATGTCAGGCCCCAACTGATCTGCTGATGTTTTTCATTTAAGAAATAAAATCTGGCACACTGTCAGAATCTGGTCTTTTATAGTAAATGAACTGCTAGGCAAAGCTCTACATATGCCAAGGTTAACACCCCCTCCACCTCCCACCAAAGCAGTAAATAAACAAGTTAGTGTAACTATTTGCTCTCCTGAATAAAAGGCAGCTTATTTTGTCCTACTTTTTCCCAGCACCACCACATTCAATCTTTAGTTTGCAGAGATATTCTTCACCTCTTTAAATCTGAATGTAGGCATGTAAGAAGAGCCATATAGAGGAGAAACAGCAAGACAAACAAAACTACCATTCTTAGTGTTTGTGCAGACCAGAAGGGAAAGCATCTACAAATCGAGCCATTCCAACATACTTGCTTGCTGACAACTTCTGGAGTCATGTCTGGCACCAGCCTGATTGAGAATTTGCCAATCACTTTCCTTGGAATCACTGTTTTGGCTCCTGATGCTGAGAAGGCTCCTTCAATTCCATGAAGAGATAAGGATGGGTATCTCCACCTGTGCATTAGGATATGCTCCTGCAAAAAGGATTGGGAAGTGGTTAATATTACAGGGGAACTGGGGAATGACCATTGCCCATGTTGACTACAGTCCCCAGATTAAGTCCTCAAGAGAATAGCTATCCAAGGAAGCTGGGGCAACCTGAACTGTTCACAGGGAAGTCTGGTTTAAGAACCGGTGTGAACTCTTGTTTGAGATACCAGATTCTTCTGTCTTTTTCACTCCTTGTTGTAGGACATTTCTAAGTCACTTCAGAAAATCCAACTCTAATGAAAGAGGCTTCTAAATAAGGCCACTCAACTGTTGGATAATGGCTCTTGTTGTACAATTTACTTTTGGCAAGTGATCTTGTGTCTTAAAGCCAAGTAGGTATTCATCTTTAAAACCTATGTAACACATGATTTTAGTTTGGCTAAGAGGTGACATCATCCAAGCTTTACGATATTTGCATAAAGAAAGAAAGGAGGATGCATTAACTGAGACATGGCATCTCTATTAGAGGCCAATACATAACCTTAAATCTAGGATGAAGAAATATCACAATTAGAAGTAAAAAACTCACTAGGAAAAAAAAGGAGGATGTTTAATTTATGGTAATATTGTTCAAACATTTAGGAGTACTGGACATAAGAAATCTGCACTGCTACTGCAGCAGGCTACCCTATAGCAAGATACTTTCCTGGAAGGTTTGCTATAAAACTTATCCTGTAGGATAGCTACATAACTGTACAGAATTGCTAGTTCATCCCTAATGAAATAAGAAAGCAGCAGCAAGAACTCTTTATGCAAAAAAGTTAAGAATTAAGATGTTCTACCTATAGAAGAAAGTTCATTTTAGTAGGTCCAAACAGCCAAATATGACACTGTGCTGTCTCTGGAAGAGTCCATCTAAAATAATTCTGCCCCAACAGAAAAAAATTAGGAGTGGACAGGAAAGAGAGAAAACTCATTACTTTTGAGTCATGCAGTAGTTTTGTTGCTCCCACATCTTTTGCATATTCCTTCAAGTCAAAGTCAATTTTTTCATATAATTTTAGCTCCTCATCAGTAAGGGGCGCCACTGCATCATTAATGCCAGGGATAAGAATTTTCCCTTTCTTATCCAGAAGACAGCCTGCAAGGGAAAAGCCCAAAAGATTAGTGTCTAAAAGCTTAAGTGTTGTTAAATCAAAGCATTTCCATGTTATGGTAAACAGACTTCTACAGTTCTTTCCCCTTACTCATAGGAAATGCTTAAAGAGAAGGGAAAAAAAAAAAAAAAGGAGGTAAGAATTGCTTCTCTTTACAGATCCAGGTTCAAGTCTGTATGATGCCTAGCTGCCCAGACCCTTCACTACTTTCCAGTTGTGTTGTGCATGCTATGCTGGCCATTCAAGTCAGCCCTAGATGTGGAATAACTCATGTATGAACATGCCAGGTCAGCATGTTAATGAATAGTCTATACTTGAGGTCAAAGTAAGTTACTACCCAATCTTTCTTGTGCTGTATTTGAAGTAACATCCCTCCATGGAGCTTCCTGTTATTTTATAAACTGGTTCGCAGGGAAGCAGACAGCTAAATTACAGCCCTAGAGTTCAGATTAAAAAGGAAAAAAGCCCAAGACATTGGTCAACTAAAGAAACCTAAAAAGTCAACTCCATCCTGTAGTGCCTAGAGCTTTTCACCTGCCATTTTTCTTAATGGATACTTCTTCTGCAAACCATAATTTAAGTGGTTAATACTTTAGTTTTAGGTAGCCAAATGGTACCAAGTACATTAGGCACCAAAACCCCTCACAGCATATAACAAGTTGATCCATTAGTTACACTTCTTTATTGCAAGACGTGTATGAGGCAGAGTTAATTCACTTGCATTCCTCTTGGTTAAGGATGGGCTGGCCTATCTAACTTTAGCATGAAGGGAAATATGTCTTACCCATTAAAGCAATTAGATCAGTCATAGCCTCATGTACTGAGCCACCATAAACTCCAGAGTGAAGGTCCTTGTCACTGCATTCCACCTGCAAAACAGCTTATCTGGAGATCCAGAAATTGTTTTTGGCCTACCCCTTAATAGACATTGTAGCTGTACCCACAATTATGGAGATTCTTTAAAGGTTAGATAATGGAAAGACTGTGCTGTAAGCAATGATATTTTGAAATCTGCAGCTATTTACAATGCAATAGCAGCAAGAGGTCTTTCAAGACCAGGAACTTATTCCTGTAGGCACTGGAAGAAAGAAAATCGTACTGCACAGGCCTTTGTTAGGAGATTTATGGCAATACTGTTCAACTGATACAACTCACATACAGAAGTCAAACTTGATGAAAGAGGTCTGTGTCAGAACTCATGGCAGTATTACACATCAAAGGGAAGTTTGTAAAGAAGGCTTTGTTGCCTATGAATGTCACCACCCAGAAGAGACTATGCAAGGGGAATACAGATACTGAACTTGATCAGTAACTCCCAGTAGAACAAGTTCAGAAAAAGTGCATTATCTGGAACAGGAAGTGTCAAGAATTAGAGCAGCCACAACTCTTCATAAAGCATAGCTTGCAAATAGGATGCATCTTGGGTTAACACGAGTGTGTTAAAAAAAAAAAAGAAAGAGGATTTTACCTCTATGAAGAAGTAGCAGATGCCCCTTAGGCCATATGTGATGCAGGGTTTTTTCTTCCCAAGCCAATAGTTGTCAGAGATGCAAACATAGTCTACATCTTTGAAGAAAGTGTCACGCTGAGCAAAAATCAATTCATCAAGGCCCTCGGAGCCAGATTCTTCCATGCCTTCTAGACAAAACTTGATGTTGACTGGGAATTCCTTCGGAGGAAGAGCCAAAAATTAGACATGCATAGAAACAGTCAGTCATTCAGCTTTTATTCCATGCACTTGTTATATGCCTTTCAGATGAGGGATGATTAACAGGAGCTCATTTCAGACTAGGAACAGCTAAGTTGTTACTGGCTTTATGAAGAGCACTTGTTAGTAAATCTGCAAGCAAATGCAACGTCAATCCTGCACTCCATTGACCCAAGTGTCACTATTCAAGTAATGAGCTTGTCCTAAGAGGTTGTGAAGCAATAAGAAGCTCTCTCTCTCTCTCTCATCTGTAGAAAGGCACAAGATCTGACAAATCTATACCCCATAAGACTAGGGTTTCACTCCTCTTTATGAACTATTATAGTCTATCAAATTGCCTTAAAGAAACAACAGGATGCAAACCACACTGCTTTGCCACTACCTCCCATTCACTGGGTCATAATACCTGGTTAGTAGATTAACAGCATATTCTCTAGTTACTTAAACCAATAGAGGAAGTCTGTTTTATAATTACATTGGAAATAGGTTCTCAGTCTTCCACTTATTATTCTACTACAGATTAATATAGTTCAGGCTTCCTGTTGAACATTTTGATCACATTCGCCCTTCAGTAAGTTAGGGCAGCATCAAAACTGACAGCCTGACCAGGTTTGGAAAAACTTGCCACTTGAGCCCAAAAGAGGAATGATGGGGTTTTTGTGTTTTCCCCTCTTGCCACCTTCAAAAGGTAAACAGACTGTTCTGGTTTTAAGGTCAAGAGCACTCCTCACTTTTCAGCAGAGCTGGTTAAGGCTTAATTTTTTCCTGCAGTAGGTTGTGCCTGTTGTTTTTATCATTATGTAATTAGCTACTAAGAATTACAGGAAGATAACCACAAAACAGGCATCTGAAGAGCTTCCCCAGAATTAGCCACTCCAACTATATGACCTACTTGCAAATAAGACAAGAACTGCACTACTCCATCTGCACTAGAACTAGAGAGCAAGCAGGCTGGGTTTTTACACACTATATTCAAGATTAATTGCAAGTGGATAACCTTTGTACTGCTTTATACCACACAGCTGTGTTGAGCAGAATGCACTGTGGATACCTGTTTAGTTTGCTGATAAGCTTCCAAGGTGTTCAACCAAGCAAGTACTGGACCTTTATCATCTGTTGCCCCTCGTCCATAGAGCTTTCCTGTAGCAACCACAATAAAATAAAAGATGCAGGGAGAAGTATTCAGTGATACAGGACTTGCAAATACAAAGCTTTATGTCATAGATGTTAGGGTCAGAAGGGACCTCAATAGATCAAGTCCAACCCCCTGCATAGACAGGAAAAAGTGCTGGGTTCAGATGACCCCAGCCAGATGCCCAGGGTAGGGGAGACCATGACCTCCCTTGGGAGCCCATTCCAGACCTTGGCCACAAACTGTGAAGAAGTTCCTCCTAATGTCCAGCCTAAATCTGCTCTCTGCTAGCTTATGGCCATTATTTCTTGTGACCCCCAGGGGTGGCTTGGTGAGTAGAGCCTCACCAATTTCCTTCTGTGCCCCCATGATGAATTCGTAAGCAGCCACAAGGTCACCTCTCAACCTTCTCTTGCGGAGGCCGAAGAAGTCCAGGTGCCCTAGTCTCTCCTCGCAGGGCTTGGCCTGCAAGCCCTTAACCAGATGAGTGGCCCTTCTCTGGACCCTCTCCAGGTTATCCACATCCCTCTTGAAGTGTAGTGCTCAAAACTGGACGCAGTACTCCAACTGTGGTCTGACCAGTGCCCGATAGAGGGGAAGTATCACCTCCTTGGTTCTGTTTGTCATGCATCTGCTGATG